AAAGATAAATCTGCATTGGGAGTAAAATACCTGGATTAGGAAAGCACAATTTCTATTCAGACTGTTCTTTGGTACTCTAATCCCTGCATATATTCTCATCATGTAAAAGCAGTTTCTCATGTAAACTGAGATCCTAGCTTTTCGTAACACCTAAGCTTTGAGTTCAGCTCATGCTGTTGCACAACCAGTTTGTGCCCTTTAGTTGTTTCTCCACATTGGATACACTCAGACTGTGCTGAAGAGCTGATGGAAGAAGCTTGAATCATAATAAAGTTTAATATATTCTGGGAATATTTTCTTAAACACATGAAGAAAGTTTAAAAGCTTGTTGTTTATGCTTACTTGAAAATTGCCTTTCTGCAGATGGGTACAAAGGTTCCTCCTCCTTACAGCTGGTCAGCAGCAGGAGGGCAATGCCCTGACACCAGCCGATCTTCCAGCAGTGCCAGACATACAGTTCCAGATAACAGAATTATTTGGTAAATATAAAGGTTATGCTAAGCCTATTTGGAGGAGTAAAACAGCCCTATCTCCCCCTGCCCACATTTTGCCTTTTACATTGAAAAATGATGCATCATTGCATGTTGACTTGCTCTGTTCTGGAAAAGATTTTCCCAAAAATGAACTACTTTTATGAACTATTATTTGAATAAAGGGAACATGCAGGGAAATGAGTGCTAAAAAATACACTCCAACATGCTGGAAATTTCATGGCAGGTTACTCAGTGGTGTGATGCAGAACTGGGGGCTGTGGATTTTTTTTCTCTTTTTTCCTTTTTATTTTTTTTCTTTAATATATTCACCCTAAATATTTTATGCCCTTTGTTTCCCTCTCAGAATTAGGGCATAGAGAGACATTTTGTCAAAGAGATATTGTCTCTCTCTGAGGCCCTTCTGTGGGGAGGGGACTCCTTTGTGGATAATTAATGGGCTGGTGGGCTCAGCTGGAGGCTTTCCTCTCAGACTGACTAAAGCTGTTAGCTTCAGTGTTGAAGGAGACAAGTGCAAATTGATGGTTCAGCTCCGAAGGGGGCTGGCTGTGAGTCTCCCAGGTAGCTCTGAGATAAATGAGCTACTCAACTCACCCCAGCACCTTGCACCAGTGGCCCATCATCTGTGGTGGGGCTCTTCTCCTGTCAGGATGCTCCAGTTCACCCTGCAGCCAGCATCTATTCCCTACCATCTCTATGGAATGGATTGGTGGGCATTTTATTTATCTTCTTGAAGGTTAAGAATAAGCTTGGTGTGACAGAGGACTTCCTACTGCACCAGAGGTGTGGTCTCCAAGGCTTGTAGGGTAAGAGAGGCCATGCTGTCTACCCACAAGACAACCTCTTAGGAATCACTGTTTCCTTCACAGCAGGTGATAAGCTGATGGTGGTCACAGCAGGCAAGCTGGACGTGTCCTGAGAATCCCTCACACCAAAGAGAGACAGAGAGTGACAACAATGTGCAGTCCTTTGGATGCAGGTGAAACTGGGGGGTGCTGCTTCAAAGCAGAAAAGACAAGCAAGTTGAACTTCAGTACTGACCCTGAAGATTGCATGCAGATTGCATACCTGGACCAAGCAGCATGGAAAGGCTAAAAGAAATTACAGGGCTGACAGGAACCATTTGCCATTTACTGGTCCAAATGCTGATTATAGTCCCCTACTAACTGGCAGACCCTGTGCAGAGGTAACAGTGGGGCACAGCCATCTGCAGCAGGAGGTGGGAAGGCTAATCTGCCCTGGAGGGTAGGACCACCTGCAACGGCAGCTGGGGATGACAGTCTGTTGCTGCCTCAGTGATCTGTGTGTGCCAGAAAATTTCTGCTCCTGTATTGCACCTTCCCAGCTTGCATGGTAAAGATTTTCAAGTCAGCTTGAAAGCATGATCTTGTTATTGATGGGAAGCAGGGTTGTTTGGATTGCTCTGATGGTATATGGCTCACCCTTCACCCTGAGGGGAAGGAAAGCATCTTCCCTGCCTTAGCCTTCTGAGGAGTGCTGGGATGTTCCACTCTCCTACACTTTCCTCTGTGAAGGTGAGTGGAGGAAACAGCAGCAATGTTTATTTCCTCCTTGTGATTAATTTCCTGGTGATATTTCTTGATGTTAGGGAGGGAAGCAAATGCATGGCACAAAGCTTTCAAGAAGTTAGCAGTCAGCAGGCTTTGGATTTCTTTGTGGTGCTTCAGGGTGTCAGCAATCTTGAGGATATGACACCAAGCTGAGTGGTAAGAGTTCGTATGTCAGGTATTCTAGGAAAGGGATGCCATCCTGAGGGACCTGTCAGGGTCTTGAGGCTTGAGAAGTAGGCCAAAGTGAACCTCACGATGTCCAACAAGGACAAGTGCAAACTCATGAACCTGGGTGGATGAAGGCATTGAGAGCAGCCCTGCAGAGAAGGAACTGGGAGATACTGGTGGATGAAAAATTGGATGTGGGTCAGCAATGTACGCTTGCAGCCCAAAAAGCCGTGTCCTGAGCTGCATCAAAAGAAGCGTGGCCAGCAGGTCAAGATAGGTGATTCTCCTCTGCTCCAATCTTGTGAGGCCCCACCTGGACTACTGTGTCCAGCTCTGGAGCCCCAAACACAGGAAGGACATGGAGCTGTTGGATTGCCTCCAGAGGAGGGCCATGAAGATGATGAGAGGGCTGGAGCACCTCTCCTATGAAGCCAGGCTGAGAGCGTTGGGGTTGTTCAGCCTGGAGAAGAGAAGGCTCTGGCCTTAGAGCAGCCTTCCAGTACTTAACTGGGGCAAATAAGAAAGAGAGAGAGAGAGACAGACTTTTTACCAGAGCTTGCAGTGATAGGAGAAGAAATGATGGTTTTAATCTAAAAGAGGGTAGATTTTGACTCGCTATAAGGAATAAACTTGAAGCTGCAGAGGCTGGAAACATGAGAGGATGGTGACTGCAGGGAAGCAGCCTGGTGAGGAGCTGAGAGAATGTGACTGGGACAGACTGGATGCTCAGTGAGCTGGTCCTAAGAGTCCCCAACACCACCTGTAACTGGCAGTCAATCTTTGACTCTTCCTGTAAAAAGAATAAAGTTGCTCCTGTTAACAGGAAGGGGACCAGAAATGGCCTATGGAGAACCCAAGTGTTCAAGGCAGGAACACCAGAGCAACACAGGAAGCCACAGGAACCCACACTTTTTTGTTAAGACCAAATTAACTTGCAACAAATGAAGCCTTCACCACGTACACAAAAGACAGAATTGATGCTGAGGACTGCTGCTCTGGCATTGCAATGGCAGATGAGCATTCAAAAATGAATGGGGCAGAGTAAGGACCCTTGATGAAAAATCTGTATTGCACATCTATTGAAGGACTGAATTAAGTTTCATACATTCTCACCTTCAGCTCTTTCTAATCTTTTGAATAAGTCACTTCAAGGTGCTGCTTTTTATTGTTTGTATAAGTTAATAGCAGTGTGTCACCATATAATGAAACTTGTATTCAAAAGGTGCAAGATGTAGGTACAGGTAGTGCAAGAACAAGCGTGCAGGCAGAAATGCCTAATGTGGTCAGACATCCCTGTCCTGTGGGACAGACATCCCAGCCAGTGAGGGTCAGGTTTTGGGCAAAGAGCTAGAAATTCAAGTCTTGGTTTTGTGACTCTATCACTAGTCTGAGTCACAGCATTATGGAAAAACTCTTCACTCATGTCTTCTCATTATGTATAATAACACTATTAATCTTGTTGGTGCTTGAAGAGTTAAAGATATGGTAAAGGTATTATATAAATAATAAATACTTATCTTAAAGGCTCATGAAATCACTTCTAATCAGAACCATAAGGTTTTCTTGTTTGGCTTGTATTACCTCTAGCATAATAATTTGAGATCTGTGTGTGTATATATAAATATATGAAGCATACAATAAATAAGCTCTACTATGGTTCAAAAGAGCCTCATCTGGGCAATGACTCTGAGCCAGACAAAACAGCAAGAATCAAAATATCCTCTTCCCTCCTCTCAAGCTGACAAATCCTATGTGCTTCAAGAAGAGCCTTTTTTTCTCACTCTCTTATCTATGAAGACCACTTTTCTATTTCATCTGCCTCAAACAAAGGACACTTGAAAGATGTTCTCTTAAATTTATTTCCTCAACCCTGGGGGCATGCAATTACTGCTGTTCACTCATGCTTTGCATGTTTAGATACTGGAAGCATGCATGTGCTTTCTGTCATTGTTACAGCATTCCCATAGAAAACTCCAGGGCAGCCAGTGTGTTCCTGATTTGGGCTCTGCCCACCACTGGCTGTGGAGTCAGCAAGCCAAACCTTGTTTAGGTGGCTACAGAAGCAAGTGGGGTCTTTACTAAGCTCATAGCTGAACAGTGTGCTGCTGCCTCCCAGGTTCTGATTTACACTCAGAGATGGTGGAGGTCCCAAAAACTGCCTTTGAAATTCCAGCTAGTTTCTCCCAGCAGCATTCCTGAGGGAGCACATGAGCAGCATGTGTCAACCCCCGTGACTCAAAAGATAAAACGCTTCAGTGGCCCAAGCAAAACAGGTCACAACTGTAGCTTTGGCTGTGATTCAGGAAAGCACTCGAGCGTCCTTTGCTTTGTGAGCAGAGTGGTGTAAAGCACCAGGATGCACCAAAAGGCACAGGATCTGTTGGAGGCTGCCCATCCCAGCTGAGTACTCAACTCCTGATGTTGTGGGAGAGAGGAAAGGAAGGGGTTGTTAGCATGAGTTTGGCAGCACTGCAGTTGCAACCTGTTGTCACTGGGATTTGCTCTGTGCAGGATGAAAAAGTTACACTCAAACAGCCTTTAAATACAGGAATCCAGCTTGAGAGACTGATGCAAAAAACCTTGTTAAAACATCCCTTCACCGTCAATTTTATTACAACATTTTACAGCAGTATTGTTTCATTTGGTTTGATAAGACACTTAGCACCTTCTAGGATGATACGCTGTGGACTGGTCACCTGTTCAGCATGCAATGCCCAGTGTCCATCCCGTGCTGAGGCTCCAGCTCTCTGGCACAGTCCCAGAGCTGACTTCACACTAAAGTGGCAAGAGCCTGGCCGTTATGGGAGCTTTCAGAGGTCCTGTGGACATCACGGTGGTTTCTGACCCTTCTGTCTTTACTGCTGCTCTTGGGGCTGTGCTGAGCCTTGGCTGCCTGGTGGCTCTGGAAGGCCCGGACGGTTCGGATAGCACGGATGCAGACCACAGAGCTGGCCAAGTACAAACAGGCAGCAGCGACACCAAAAAGAGCGACGGCCGCGTCGCCACCCTGGACCACACAGTTCATGGAGGTGTAACCACGGCGTGCGTAGAGCCTCTCGCGCCTCTTGCACACCTCTGTGGAGTTCACCTGGCTGACAAGATGCAGGTAGAGGCCGACTGCCACCACGTAGGCTGCACCTGCCAGCAGGCTGAAGGCACATTCGCCCGCCAGCAGCCCCATCCGGAGCTGCTGGATGGGTTTTGCCCCCACGACAAGGAAGACCAGGGTCAGTGCTGCTGCTGTGAGGCTGAAGGCTACTCCGCCATACACACCAGGGGCTCTCATCTGGGTGAACTGCATGTCAAGCTCCCTCACCTCCCGCAGCTCCGTGCCCTCAAAGGGGCTGTAGGCTGAATTCAGGTTGAAGGATCCGGTGCCCAGGCCGCCGAGGGACGTGAAGCCTGCAACAGAGGCTTGGGCAGCGCCCACGCAGATCAGCACCAGCAGGTTAACTGTGATTTCCACAAACTTCAAAATGCCTAGAAAGACCAGAAAGATGGGGATAAGTGTCAAAAATCGCATCTTGTGCGAACTGGGGGTGACAGAAGTACACCAAAACCACAGAGAGCACTGTTACTGAGGTAGCCCTCCTGGCTACAGCTACAGAAAAGCACTGCTTTAAAAATAAGAAAGTGCAAGCTCTCCTGCCTCAGTTTCAGAGGCTGGGCAAATCACTTTTTTAATTTGTCAGTGTGCTTGATAAATGGATCTTCATGCAGGGAAAGAAATACATAAAAATTTTACTGTGCTTGTGTTATTGCCAAGGGAAGCGCACTGAGATTGTATTTTGGCCTGGAACTACTTGGCATAAACACACCCAGCAAGAAATATCCAGCATAGGCAAAATACTGAGGTTATAGCTGACAGAAACCTAGAAGCTTCTCATGGCTTAAAAAAACCATGCAAGTTATCTAGGTCTTTTAAAATGTGTTTACTGCTTTAACGCACACCCTTTTTGTCTTTCAAGTGTTTTAAAACTTAAACTTGTTATCTAGCCAGAGGCAACTTCTACTTCATCTCTTTCAGAGATAAAAATCTCTTCAAAAATTCAAAGAAGCAGATTGGACATAAACAAGGAGGAGGGGAAGGAGGCAAAAAATCACCTTTATGTGGAGGTAAGTTAAGTGAATTTGATACCAGCTCATGTGTTCTCTTCCCACACACCCCCATCTCCAGAAGAAAGTCTTATGACTTCTGAGCTGACTTCTCCTCCTTTTTCCTATGTTATGCTACTGATAAAGGTAACCAAGTTTTTTTAAAGAAAGAAAAAAAAAGGATAAATGACTTCTTGTGGTAGTTGCCTGTCAGGGAGGTGCAGCATGTTAGATAAATCTGATTATTCTACGGCAGCTCACTAGGGGTCAGACTAAGATTAGTAAACACGACAGATGTTGAAGCGTAGCACAGCCAGAGTTGCCTGTTCGGGAAATGAAAACCCCTAGTGTATCACGTGTGTTGCTCCTCAAGTTCTGAACTTAATTACAGAATTGTGAATCTTAACGTTCCATTGCAGTCTGACAGCCAGGAACATAGGACGCTTGACACAGTGGTTCTATATTTGTCTTTGAAGTGGGGCAGGATCTGGGGTTTGCATACAGACTTTCATTTTATGCTCCCAACATTGATCAGCATGGCATCTTCCTTTGAGCAATGGCTCAGTTGCTGTCAAGGCTCCACGGGCTTGGAAAAAAAAAGGGAGTGGGGGGGCGGCTAAAGCAGCACGCAAGGGAATTAGACAAATTCCTCTTTTGTGTTGCCAGATGCTTCTAACCGAAGAAAGCCAGTGACAGCCACCATGAAGGATTATGGGACATTCCCATTCTGCCCCTTCTTATTCCCTCCACAGAGGGCTGAGGTGATGAGCACCACCCTGCTGCCCCGTGCCTTTTACAGGAAGGTGCTTGCAGTGGTTTGACAAGGGCCTTTGGCCACATCAGGAGTTCCTGCACCAGGCTGATCCCCTCACCTCTAGTGCAGCTGTAGGTAGGTACTGAGCCCATTCACATTGTGGCCTTGAAAACCATCCCAGAAGCACAAAGCTGAGCAGTGATAGTGGTCTAAGACTTGAGAACAGAGTATCTGGGGCTCAGCAGGTTTCAGTTTATGTGTGTGTGTATACATACATATCCACACACAAGTGCATACATAAACAGATTTCATATCCTAAAAAGAAGTAGGTAAAGCAGGCAGAGAAGGCAAAATGATCCTTTTGAGGAGGAACTATGTGTGTAGTTCTATATATGTGTTCTTCTGAGGTGATGCTGACTTCTGCATGACAACATGCCTTTTCCCTGACCCATCTGTACAATCATTTCTGGGAAGCAGGGCAATAAACATGCTGGTTAACTAACCTGTTCAGGGGGCTTCAAAGACTTCAAAGGGAATATTTGTGAAGCTAAATGTAAAGAGAACTTTAAATCCTGGTCCATGAGATAGGATTTGGAACTCTGTAATAAATTCAAACAGTGCAGCCAAGAGAATCAACATTTTTAATGGGTACAGAATCATTACCAAGACTGTTAAAAATATTTTGAAAGAGTAATAGCTGCACAGGACATTCATTGGAACTGGATCAGATATTTTTTTTTTTCTTCTCAATTGAGCATGTACAATATTCCTTCCAAATACAGGGAGTCAACTTAGGTCCTTGGGGCCCTTGGACAGTGTTGGATGCAGAAAGCCACTTCCCCTTTTTAAGAGCTGACTACTGATTTCATAGATGCATCAGGAAGCAGTTCTTACAAGTCTACAGGGAGGAAAGACCATCTGATTAAGGGAAACATAAATTTTAAATATGTTTGGGAACTTGGAAGTTAGGAATTCATGACCAGTCAGCTTTCTTCTACTGCTGTCTTCAGAATTTCCTTTTCATCTAGGAATGGTGAGGCACTCTGACCTTTTGAACATCAACTTTTCCTGTACATCACATTGCTGATCTTTAGAAAAGGCAATTTTCTGTTGCCAAGGTAGTCAGCACCTGCTGCTCACCTCTCCACATTTATAACTAACCCAAATGTTCAGTGACACTGCTCCAAAACTTCCTATGTATTCCCACAAACTCTGAATATGCACCCCTTAACTTCACTGAGCTGACTGCTGGGTACCACAGCAGGGCTGGCAGAACATCTCTTTGCTCACAGAATGACAAATATCAATATAGGTCAACTGTATTTTTAACTGCAGCAGTAGATACTTTAATGACATGCTTGAAAAAAATTCCTTTGACAGGGCATTCAGGTTGGACAAGTTTTATATGTACCTGTACAGTGGTTTCACACACACACCTTCTCTAGAATTGATTAAAGTAACTAAACAATGGAGAGAGGTTCATTAGCAGTTACTCTGCCAGTTATTTGCACCACATGGATCAACCTTTTTTTTAAAAAAAACAACAAAGCAGTGTAAAACTAAAGCTTGCTATATCAAAGTAAATCCTAAAATGCTAAGCAGCATGTAGAACAAAGCTGTGAGTTACAGATCTATGATGAGAGCCATCAGGGTTTGTGAAAGTAGCAGACAATTAGTGGAAATCCCTAAGACCTTGTAAAATCATCAGGGCTTTGATGGAAATAATAAGCCCTGCAGTATGTTTAGATCTTGACCTGGGCATCCCAAAATCCTCATGCAACCTTGATCTGTGACAGTTCAAGCTGATACCCAATCCTGCTATATTAGTCTAAAGAGGATGGCCAGAGCTGAGAAATAAGGAATAAAAAGACAGTGAAGTTTTGCATCTTAGCTCTGCCAAGGTATGCCAACACACACATACTAGCAGTGACCTATACCAAGCAGTGTCCTGCTGGCAGTAAAGGCTGAGTTGAAAGCCACACTTCTGCATCTGTGCTGCCATTCCTGCTTTCACAGGCTGGTTAGCTACATCATCTTTGAGATACAGCTGCAGAAATGAGACTGCCAAAAGATCTTCCTACAGGGAAGTTACTTATCTCTACAACTATTCCCTAATCCCATACAGCAATGAACAGACTAAAAGACTTTAGAGTAAGAGTGCTGAAAAATCTCAGAACTCCACTTGTTTGGTTAATTTTTTCCCTTGTCAAGTACAAAATTTTGGGATCTATCTAAAATGTTATTGACTTGTGTTAAAATTAGCACAGTGAATGGTTGGCTTTGGGAACTAACCCTCTCCATACTGAGCACATAAAGAGACTCAAGTCTGGGCTCCTGGATTTCCATTTCCTTTCTCATGCTGTTTTCTGCACTACTTTTCAGAACTGGAGGCAAGGAGAACAGTTGCAATCTGAAAGACACAGGGTGTTGCCAGAGCTTTCCAGACAACTGTTCAATTCATTCCATAAAATCTAAATCTTCAATAGACAGTAACTTCAATGTATTGTACTAGTTAACTTTGTCTAAATCTAGTCTTTTTCTTTTTACTGTGAGCAGGCTTTCTTCTATGACAAACAGCAGCCTTCCAATTTATACCATTAATGCACTTTTCTTTCCCTTCTAGGCCAGATGCATACTGGGCTATTGCCCTGCTACTAACCCACTGATCAATGGTTTTGTCTTCTGTCAAATGGTGGGCTCAAATGCCCAGCAAAGCAGTGAGGCAGGCTGTGCAGCGTCCACATCCACAGGCAGCTGACCTGGCTAATGCTTGGCGGGGCAGCCACCACTTTTCTTCCCTGCCCAGTAATAGCTCCAGCCTAGCATTAGTCCCTTCCAAGAGCTGTTTTAATAAATTAAAATAGCAGGAAACGATTCAACTCTTTTTCTTGTGTGCTGCTGTTTTTTCCTGCAACTTTAGCAACTTGAAGTGACTCAGTGTATCTGATGAGCAATTATGCTGGCAGGAGCTAAGCAGGGGAAATAACACAGCCATCACCAGAGAGCAACCAGAAAATAAAGACCAGAGACTCTCCATTTCAGGTGAGGTGACCTGTTAAATGTGTGCTCTGCCTCATGAAACTACACTGTGGCTGACTGTGGTACCCAGTGACTCAATTGTGTGCTCAAGTCTCACATGTTGGAAGCTGCAAAGTGGCATTTTCATTCAGGCATAGTTGCAGGATGGTCCCTGTCTTCAGGTGTCAGGATCATGGTGTGTGCACATATGTGTGTACATGAAGTAAAATTGTCAAGTCGTGCTTTTTCCTATTTTTCTGCAGCTGACATGAATGAATCGCAGGACATGAAGATCTGGCTGTTTCTGTTGAACTCCCCTGACCCCATGAGGGCCTGACTAATACAGGAGACCTTCAAAGTGTCTCCCTTCACTGCATCTTGGCACAGTAGTCACTTTTTTCCTCTTTCGACTGCACATTGACTCTTTCTCCTGTCTCTTTTGGTATCACTTCCTCTTCTTGAGTTAACATCCCCATGTGCGAAGATATTTTATGTTTGTCACTCTCCATGCTGGCTTGCTTTCTCCCTCTCCTTCCTTTCAGGCCATGTCCCACCAGGATCAGTGGCACTCTAGGTGCTGCCCCTCTTGGACCCTTCAACCCCAGTGGCAGGCAGCAGCTCTGGGAGCCACAAAGGTCAGTGATGCCTGTGTCATA